GCCCTCTTCTCGGCAGCTGGCAGGCCTGCCTCTTCTCTTCTTATTGGGCTTCCGAAGGCAACGTTAGGCATTTTGGCTCGGCTTCAAACGCTCCCCAGAGCCTCACCGCAGCCTTGCCCTCTTCTCGGCAGCTGGCAGGCCTGCCTCTTCTCTTCTTATGGGCTTCCGAAAGCGACGTTAGGCATTTTGGACCGGCTTCAAAAGCCTCTCGGCAGCCGGCTGGCCTCTTGCGGCCTCTCTGTGGCCTGTCCGAAGCCTGCCTCCTCTCTTCTTATGGGCTTCCGAAGGCAACGTTAGGCATTTTGGACCGGCTTCAAAAGCCTCTCGGCAGCCGGCAGGCCTCTTGCGGCCTCTCTGCCTCCTCTCTTCTTATGGGCTTCCGAAGGCAACGTTAAGCATTTTGGACCGGCTTCAAAAGCCTCTCGGCAGCCGGCAGGCCTCTTGCGGCCTCTCTGTGGCCTGTTCGAAGCCTGCCTCCTCTCTTCTTATGGGCTTCCGAAGGCAACGTTAGGCATTTTGGCTCGGCTTCAAAGGCTCCCCAGAGCCTCACCGCAGCCTTGCCCTCTTCTCGGCAGCTGGTTGAATGCCAGCATTGGTGTGAAGCCCATCCAAGTCTCGCTGTTGAACCCCAGGAAGTTGTCAAGGTTCAACCGCCAAACCCTCGAGATGAAAAGGGGTCGGCGGCACCCGGGCGGAGCCCTTACAATTTGGACTACTGACTACTTTTTCACCGCATTTACATTCTTCTTTAAACAGATATGTTCTTTCTTTTCTTTCCTTGTTTTTTCGAAAGCCAGCCGATAGGTTAGGCTGATGTTCTGTTTAAGTTTAGGCGAACGAAGTGAGGGGTGTGTGGGGGTACGTAAAGAAACCCAGATCCTGCTTGGGGAGAGGGGAAAAATGGGTGGGCAAAATGTCGCCTATGCTTTGACGGCCCCGGAAGTGAAGGTGATGTCGGCAACATGTCCACCCCGGATAGCTCCGGCTCAAAGGTGATGTGGGGCCACGCCGCGCCGTGTAGGTGTGGCGTGTGTCTCACACTTGATAGGGTCTGCCACTGCATAATGTAGTCTCTTGATTTATAAACTCCCCCCGCCTCAACAACCAGGGCTTCCAATATAATGTATAAGAAAACTAACCAAAGGACCAAAATGAAAAGAATCATTATTAAAATCTTCTTGGTCTTCTCTGGCAATATAAAAAAAGGGAATCAATGAAATCTCAAATTGAAGACACTTGGAATACTAAAGTAAAGGGAAATCAATAAAGTGGAAATGGAAATCTCAATATTTTAATGGAAATCTCAATCCAAAGACCTTGAAAAGCATCCAATCTCAATGGAAATCTTCAACTTTTCAAGAGCTTAGGTAAGTAAAGCAAATCAAAAGGAAAAGAAAGGGAATGAGTACAAGTTTACTTAAAGCAACATATTTTTAAGCTTGAAACCCCAGCAAACTCAAAAGGGAAAAAGTAAACTATAACAATAAGAAATATTCCACTACAACTATCCCTGCAAAAAAAGATATTATTCTGGGGGCCTTTATAAATCTGTGCAGGAAAAAAGTCATTATTCTAGCAGAATTTTATATAATTTATAAATCAGAGGACCACATTAGCAGACTTCACCCGCGAGCCAGGGTATCTCAACTTCGCCGCCGAGAGATTGCGCATATTGGCTGGCGAGCTCTGCGATTTCATCGATTTGCGGAGGCATGATACAGGTACCGGGGCGGTGCTCACCCCCGGTGTACGGGAGCCATCAGGTTTTCGAGGAGAAGGAGAGAGAGCCTGGACACCAAGAGAAAGCAGCAGAGGCGTGAGGGTCACCAAGGGAAGAAAGCAACAGGGTAAAGAAGGAGGAAAGCGAGGAGAGAGAAGAAGAATCAGAGCCTCAGTACAGAAGAGAAGAGCATCAAGATAGGCCAGAAAGTACAGAACATCCGTCTACAGCTCCCAAGAGTCTCGCATCAAACAAGTCAATAAGCAAGGAGCCGTTGCCGAGAAGGGATTCAAGACGAAGAGCCGAGGAGGAGTGCCGAGGGTGAATGGGAGTGCGAGGAGGACCGCACTCCTCACTCCGAGAAGAAGCAAAAGAGGAGGAGAAGGACAAGAAGCCGTTCCCGAAAAAGGAGGAGAAGGAGCCCCAGTGTGGAGGAGGACAACAGCCATCGAAATCCAGGAGGAGCCGCGTCTCCATCAAGGCCACACCCAGGCCGTCTCAACGCCCGCGGGAGATCCACCAGCACAGTTGAGGCCCCACTCGCCCTCACATTGGAAGGGACCGATCCGAGCGCACGGACGAGGTGGCCAAGGACAGTATACCGACTGGAAAAACAAAGGTGTGAAGAAGGTCGAAGCCCAATGCTCCTTCAAAGCTTTCTTGGCCCACAAGAAGGAGGTTTGGAGGTGAGTGGATGGCCCTAAAGAGGCGCCCAGCAGCTGCAGTAGAAGGGAGGCGAGATCGACGGTACGAGCCAGACCTGCCGCTTTCTCAAGGGGAGGACTGGTGGAAGGCCACAAGGTGACGGTGGGAGAGGTGTCACTGGGTACAAAGGTCTTCGCAGAGGCTTTCTACTGGGACCGAGCAGTTG